ATGTCTCAAGTAGGAAAAACGAACCAATAAATAACCCGTATTGTCTTGCATACGGCTAGCTTTATTATGAAGATGATGTGTTACATTTGATTCTGCAGTGAGCTCCATTTTCTGAGCTGACTGATGACCATGTGATTCTCCTAATATCTCTTATTGGACTTTTCCACGGTTTTCCCAAACATCACTCGTTCACATTACTCCAATAATTCAGACTCACTCATCTCCAAAACATCCTCTGTGCTGGTATCATGCTAGCTTTTTAAAAACTTAAATGACCCACTTCATCCCTCTATTCAAAACTCCATTTCTCTCACACTCAGGGCTCTAGCCGTATGGATCGATTTTTAGTTCCTTGTAAAGGAGGAGGTCTCACCATCAATGCCTTTGCCCTAATGCTCCCTCTTCCTGGAGAGCCTTTGCATCTAAGCACTTGAACAATAGCAATAATAAGCTATTCATTATTCAAGGAAGCTTAAGTACCACTTCCTCAAAGAAACCTTCTGAATCCAACTGGATAACCTACATGCCACATATCTTCAATGGCACCTCTAATCTTTCATACACATTTCACATACTGCTTACACGTCTTTTTCTAAGTACTATGCCAAAAGCTCCCAGAAGACATGTCTATATCCTTCGCACCTAGGAAAATGTCTGGCCATGTGTTAGGCATTCAATTTGTTTGTGCAATTCATGTATTACAAATATCATCATATAAAAGTATTGGATCTGGGTATTTGTTAACCAAAATGAAGCAAGTCTACACACGTCTGGAGTTTCAATATATTATATTGAATGAGCCAAGAATATTCTGTCTTTAATTACTATAACTAACAAAACAATCAAAATGCCCTGCATTAATTCATTTGGTCATCTCTTTCTCCAGAATACTTTGAACGCTATTTACTGAGGTCACTCCAAAACTCTGCTCCAAAGCTCTGCTGATAGGCTCGTAAGTGGCCGCCAGGATCTCCCATGCAGGACATGAGAGCCCAGGACACGTGGCTGCTGCGAACCAGGAGTTCGAACCAGGATTCTCAGCACTGCACCACAGACTAGCCTCTCTGGGCCCTTTCTCATCTTAATATTAAAAAGTGGAATTGCTTTTACTTTTTCCAACACCGTAAACACAGAGAACGATTTTTATTTGGGACAATGTGCCTTCAACATTCACAACCCACAGATCTGAGTTCCTCTCACGGGATCCCTTGGTAAGTCAGACCCTTAACTGAAACAGGAAAGAGGTTCTGTTGAAGCAAAGCCAAGAAAAGCAGAATGGTGCTTCTCTCAAAGATGAAATCACAATAAAAGTGCACATGAAACCAAAGGGCTCTACAATCTACAAAAACTTTGCGTGTGTAACATGAATTAAGTGTCCTTTAAGCTCAAGGAAACATATATTTCCTTGTATAAGAACGCATTACCGAAGGTAACGAGGACTGGTAAACTGCGTCATAGAGAAAGACTCCCAGAGGGGCTGGGAGAGAGAAGGCTTCCATTAAAGACACAGGAAATATCTCTTTAAGTATCACAGATGGACGCACAGGCATGGGCAGAATCTGGACTGGATCTGCCCATCTAGAAGACATTCCAGCCAGAACACAAGCAAAGACATTGAAGTTGGAAAGGCCAGGAGTCTGGTCTGGGGCACTGGGGTCGTGGTGGAAGGATGGCACTACAGTTTGAGATGAAATCATGACAGCCCAGATCTCTAGAACATGGACATCAGTGGCCCCTACAATCTTGAAGGACAGAGATACTCGGTCAAGATACCCAGTAAATGGCTTAAAGAGCAAAAGCTGTCTTTTGCCTAAATTTAAGTGGTTTCTACATGCAAGAAAGCAGGCAATTCTATTAACATAATTCTAATTTGACTGATGAAAGACAATCTCTATTGAGTTAGAGGAGAGTCAAAAAGCCATGAGAAAGTGAACTGAACTGCTTATGAGTTTACTATTATTCACCTACTGTATCCCAATCACAACTAATAAGCAAAACCTGGAAATAAATAATGGGTATTTTTAAATTGTAGGAACATTTTTGAACCATATAATTCACGAATTGATTTTTCCTTATTTTTACAGGTGATAATTACCAAGAAAGAGAAATTATATCCCTGAGCTAACTCAAGGGCTTCCTCCATTCTAGGAAGAAACTCTACTTGCTAGCAGAAACTATCAACCAGCCACTCTAGGTAAGGCTCCCATACTTGCAAACACAACATTAAAGCTGGGAAACCAGTAACAAGTTCTAAGCTCCTTTTCAAAGACGGGTGAAATTAAATCTTACATTTTAAAGTCATTTTGAAACCAGTCTTTCTACTAAGGAAAACCAAACATTCACCCAGAAAATTTGCACATGCTCACTGCTGAGAAAAGGAAAGGAAAATAATGCATTAATTTAGCTCAAGGACCATTACTACCTTGTACGAGTTTTGGACAATAAACCCATCATGCTGAAATATTGTATTTTCATATGTGCAGAAACCCAATGGGATGAAACTCTTATGCAGTAGAACAGAAAAATAATTAGGCTGAGAATCAGGACAGCGGGAATTCGGTGCCAGCTGAGCCTGGAAAATCACTGAACATCTATGGCCCTCCACAGCCCCACCTTTACACTGAGAGAGTTGAATCATGACCTCTGAAATGCCATTTCAAAAAATTCAATTTCAAAGAATGGCAATTTATAGCTGCTGCTTCATATTCAGGGAAGCAGTGAGGTGGAGTAGTGTGGATTCGGTTTTCGGGGCAGGCTAACCGGAGTGCTCAAATCTACACTCCCTCAGTACTAGCTGGATGGCTTCAGTGCACGCTTCCTCTTTGATCAAGAAGGGATAATATTTACCTCTGCAACATGCTGGAAGGGTCAGAATGTATGTAATGCGCCTGGCACACTGTAGGCACTAAATAAAGGTAGACACATTAAGTCTCTGGTCAGTGATAAAAGTCCTGATAGAAAATGGTAATCTACTTGACAAGGCCATTTCCTAAAACTCGGCTTGGAGAATGGCAGGGTTTGACTGCCAGTCCTTTCCAAAGGGTGAGCACGTACATACGTGAGGACTCAGAGGAGGGAAGGAAGGATGAAAGCAGGGAGCTGATGACACACAGCAGAGGCTTAGAGTCCTGCCCGTAAAAATGACAACCAGGAACAAAACAGCATGGGACACAGGGCTTGAGGGAAGAAGGCATATTTTCAGTAAGACAGAGGACTACTGGTAGAAAAAAAAAATACATGATGAATTACTGTGATGATTTCATAACCAAAATAGAGCAGAGAGCTGGTACAGTCGAGGAGTGTCACTGAACGGAGGGCTGTGGCAATACCCAAGCCCATTTTCCTTTGCGGTTCTTACTCAGGGTTCAGGTGATCCTGCTCATGACGATCTCAAGGGCCGTCTCCCCCGACCCCACCTCGCTGTCTTCTAGGTTTACTCCACTCCACACGGCTCCTCTTCTACCCCTGTAACAGGCTAAGCCCATTTTTTCCCTTTAGCTCCTTTGCACTGTTATGTGTGCCTGGAACCTTCCACCAGATCTTCCCATGCTGCCTCATTCCAGACATTCAGGTCTCACCAAACTGTCACTAAGTTCCAGAAGGAAGTCTTCCCTGTCCACCGTATGTAAATTTCCCCCACCTCCCACATCCCAGTCACACTCTATCCCCTTTCCTTGCAGTATTTTTTCTAGCATTTATCATTATCTAGAATTGTCATTTTTGCTTACATGTTTATCGTATCTCCACCAAAATCGTCCTCCACCTGTGAGGACAGGACCCTGACCCAAATTCTGCAGCACTCAGTCCCCAGCACCTTAAACCAAAATGGGGCAATAGGTGATGTAGGATCGGATGTATTCAGCGGATGAACTTGTTCAAAGAAGAAACTAAAATGGTTAAAACTGCCATCCTTCTGGCATAAGGAAAGGTCCCCCAAAGTGACTTTAATGTCATTTCTTTAGTGCAGTTTTACGCACTGATGCAGTCTTAACGCTCAATGCTTTGGATAGCAAGAGTTAAAGACAACGAGCTTTTATGAAAATACAACATACTATATACGTATGTGCATATCGTCCAGCACGCCTTTTCACTAGAGCATGAAGCCATATATAAAGCAAAGGCACCATAAAAATTTGGTTTATTGAGATCCTGCCTTTATGAAGAGGGGGCAGACGGGTAGACGGTGCACAGATGGGAACGATCTTCCGGAGCCCCCGTCTACAGTGACGCTGGGGTAAAGCAACCAGACCAACTCCGTGTACCTGAGAAACGAGGCCCGTTACCCCGTTACCTCGCTGCACTTCTCCGACTGCGACTGCGTCAAGCGCGGAGTCGGGCGATTCCGCCCGTGAACGTGAACGAGAACGCGAGCGACACGGCGCGTAACCCGCGCGGCGACGGGACGGACGGGGAAGTCAAGTCCCACAGTGTCCGCCCGCAATCTGAACAAAAGGGCAACAGCAACAAAAAATCTTTCCTCGACGAGATGGGAAAATATGGCCGGTACCGTGAGTGGGCAAAGCGGCGACCGGGGACGGTGGCCAGAACGCTCAGGACTGGCGCTTTTTCCGTTTTGTTCTGCTTTCACACGGCTTTTTGTTTTTGTTTTTACTGAATACACGAGGCGGACGGGCGACCTTGTCTGCACAACCGCGCACCCCCAGTCACCACTCGGGGCGTCTCGAGGGCCCGGGGCGCCGGCGCGGGCGGGGGCCGCGGGGGGAGGGGCGGGGCGGCCGCCGCGGGAGCCCACCCGGAGCCCACCCCGCGGCGGGCCGGGGGGCTCGGCCGCCCGCAGCCCGACGCCCGCAGCCCCGAGGAACACCGCCGGCCCAGCCCCTCCTCGTCCTCCCGGAGGAGCGCACGGCGCCCGGCAGACACCCGGACGCCCGGGCTCCGCCTCCGCTCACGGGTCTCCCGGGAGCCCCGGACAAGCCCTCCGACCCCGGCTGACTCAGTTTCCCAGTCTGTCAAACAGGGTGACGAGAAAGCCAGCCTACCTCGTCGGGCGGTTCCGGGCCGGCAGCCCCAGGCTGGCCCGCGGACAGCGGTCCCGCGGCGGAGCCCGCGGAAGCCCGAGCGGGCGGCGGGGCGGGGCGCGGCGGGGCGGGGCCCGCGACCAAGCCCGCAGGCGACGCGCAGCCCACCGCCCGCGGCTCGCCGCCCGCGGACCTCCTCGGGTACCCGGCCCGTGACGTCAACACGCTGACGTCGACGCACGGAGGCCCGTCGCGCCCGAGGGACCGAAGACCGGGCTGGGCCCGCCTGTCCCCGTAACGGAGCCAGCGATTGGCGGACAGGCCTGTCGATCATTCGCTGCCCAGTAAGCAACGCCGGAGGCGGGAGAGGGCGGGCTGGCCTCGCCGGGGAGAGGGTGGGTATCTGGAATCCTACCTGGGAGAGCCGCGGGCTGGGTGCGCTTGGCCGCGTGTTGTCCCTTCCCGTTTTTTGGGGGGGCTGCTTCCCCCCTATTGGCGACCCTACTTCTTCCGCTGTCTTCCAGTCTCCTGGTGGGGGTTTGGGTCCGGCTCGTGGAAAGGAGTCGTGGCCCGGATTTCAAGACCCCTGGCACCTCGCCCTGAGCGCTCCAGGAATTAAAAAGTAGGACCTTGCGTTTCTCTCTTCAGACGGCACCCCCACCCTGAATTCTCAGGTCCCCCAGACCCATTTAGGAGACTTTTTCTCTGCGCTCCCGGCGCCTGTCTGATACGTGGATCTTAATAGCGGTCACAACTAATTATATTTGTATGTTTGGCCAGGACATCGAGGATCTTTTAGTTATTTTAATTCAAATTACTTTCAAGTTTTAATTGAGCTTTTTACCAATAAATGCTACGGTTATATCGTTCAGATATTTGAAGTCTTGACTTCTGTAGTCGACAGAGTGAAGGTTCTTCCGCCACCAGTTTCTCAGGCACTCGTTCCACCCCTCGGAGGCAGGCAGTGTTGCTGGCCGAGTGTTCTTCCAGAGACGGTCTAAGTGCTATGATTAATTTTAAGTTGCCCATAATAATAAATGTAAACATTACAAATTAGGCTACAGTCCTTCTCAGGCACTGATTGCAAACCCAGTCCCTATAGGATGACTGCTGGTTCCTGTGCATTTACTTATGTGTAGGTATTTTTTTCCAATCAGCCTTAAGACCGTTGAGATTTTTCCATATCTATATGTAAATGTACCTCATTCTTTTAAAATATGGCATTTTAGTCCTCAGAACCAATAGATACGATTTATGATTTCCTAACTCTTCGTTATGAAATTCATTTTCTTGTTTTTCTATTAGAAGCATTCCTACCTTCGACATAAGTGCATGCCCCTTTTTGAACTTCTATCCAAGCGTTTTCAAGGGTAGAAATACTAGCAGGTGAATGTATTGGCTAGAGAACTCACACTTTAAATCTTCATAGTAGATTCCCTTCATTTGTCCTTTTAAGTAGCTGTTACAACCTACAGTCCTACCCGTAACGTGCAAGCAACTCTTTCCCTGCATCCTTGCTAACATTTTGAAAAGAAATAGAATTTTAAAAATTTTCTAAATTGATGAGTAATAAGAACATTTTTGAAGGTAACATGTGTGCCAAAGAAGTGCCGTAACCATGAATGTATGTCTTGGTAACAAAGCGAATGAACTGTAACCATTTCCTAGACCAAGATTTTAAACATGTACCAGGAATCTAGGCTCTCTCCTGGTACTTAGTCATTGCTCTCCTGCACACAAATAGCCACGATTCTGAATTTTACCACCAAAATTAGTTTGGCTTGCCTAAACACTTGTAAATGGACACAAAGAGTGTGTACTCTCATGTGGCTCTTTTTGCTCAATAATATTTGTAACATTGATCCATATTCCAGAGTGTAGTAGTTTATTTTCATTTTTGCGTATACTTCCAAAATGTGCCTATTTATTCTGATACTGCTTGACATGAGGTTGTTGGAAGTTGGGGTGGCTACAAGTGAATATTCTTGTAGCTCTCCGTTGACGCACATAGTTACACATTTGGTTTTGATATATCCCTAGGAGTAATATTACTGTGACACAGGATATGCATATATTCACTGTTGGTGGACATTGCCAAATAGTTTTTTGGTTTACTGACTTTACAACCCACTAGCAGTGAATGAAAATTCCAGTGCTCTACATCTTTGCCAACATTTGATATTCTCAGTTTTATTTTGTGTTCATCCTTTTTCCTTTCTTTCTTTCTTTCTTTCTTTTTTTGTTGTTGTTTTCAATTTTGTGGGGACAAACTGAATATACAAAAAGTTGCATATATTTAATATGTAAATTTTAATGAGTTTAGATATATGCATATACATGATACCGTCACCACAAACAAGGTAATCAACATATCCATCACCGCCAAAATATTTCTTGTGTCCCCTTGCTTTTGTGGTTGTTCTGGTTGGTAAGAGCACATAGAATGAGATCCACCTTCTTAACAAGTTTTTAAGTGCATAGCACCCTGTTGTTAACTATGGGCTCTATGTCATATGGGAGATCACTAGAATTTATTCATCTTGTGTATAACCATCACTTTAAAATTCCCCATTTTCCCCTGACAACCACCATTCTAATCTCTGCATCTGTGAGTTTGACTTTTTAGATCCTTCATATAAGTGGAATCATGCAGCATTTGTTCTTCTGTGACTTGACTTATTTCCAGGCATAATGTTTTCCGTGGTGATGCGACGTCTCTGTTCCTCACACCAAACCTTGCAAGAACCCCACGCTGGGCGGGTCTTCAGTGTCTGCCCTGAGGATAATCATCGTGAGGGGACCACAAACAGGTAAGAGGTGCTGCAGTGAGTATGGGCCACCTTCGGTTCCTTTCTTTGTGCAGCCCCACTCAGACGTCCCCAGATCTGGCACCTGATCCCGAAAACTTCTCTGCTCCCTCCAGCTTCAGGGCCTGGGGACCCATGTTTGCCTACGTGGCCAGGATATGTTTTGGCCCTGGATTTTGTATTCCAGAAATCCCTAGGAATGGTCTGGGCAAGACAGATGCTGTAAAGAAAAACTGATGATTGAACTAAGTAAAACAGTGTCAGAGGACAGAGATGTCTCTGGTTGTGCAACGGGTCTATCACATGCCTTTTAAGCAATTAGAACTCGATAATGCAATCATCTGTTACCCAATTAAACTTTTAAGACCAGAAATGCACAGATTAGCTCTCTTTCTTTTGCCTGAAAGCAATTGTCACTTAGATGAAAGGACACTTAAAATAAAAAATAAATTCTGATAAAAATGAAGAGGTATAAATAATATTCACTCCTACTTTTTAAATACTTGAAAAATGAGTCCATGCATGATGTCATGCATGGTAGGATTTCCTTCTTTTTTTTTTTTTTTTTTAAGGCTAAATAACATTTTATTGGATGCAGGTACCACACTGTCTTTGTTGATGGTAATTCGGATTGTTTTTAAATCATGAGTTTGATGAATCATGGCAGTTCAGATATCTCTTTGAGATCCTGATTTCAATTTGGATATATACCCAGGAACGGAATTACTGGATCATATGGTAAAGAAATAGAAAATATGAACAGACTAATAGACAAGTAATGAATTTGAATCAGTAATCAAAAACCTCCCCACAAAGAAAAGCCCTGGATCAGATGGCTTCTCTGGTGAATTCTATCCAACAGTAAAAGGATTAGCACGAATCCTCCTCACACTTTTCCCAAAACTTAAAGAGAAGCAGTAGTTTTGTTGGTATAAGGCTCATTATACAAGGCCTACATTACACTGATACCAAAACCAGAAAAACACACTGTAAGAAAAGAAAATTGCAGGTCCATATTTCTGATGAACATAGATGTAAAAACCTGTAAATAAAAATCTAGGTGCAAAAATCTGTGACAAAAGTTTTAGCCATCAGAATTCAATAATATATTAAAAGGATCATATACTGTTATCAAATAGAATTTATTCCTGGGATGCCAGAATGCAAATCAGTAAAACGATACAGCACATTAACAGCATGAAGCATAAACACCATATGATCATCTCAGTAAATGCAGAAAATGTATTTGATAAAATTCAACATCCCTTCCTGATGAAAACTCTCAAATTAGGTATAGAAAGAATGTCCCTCCCTCTGCTGGAGGGAGCAGAGGAAGATCAGGAATAAGACAGAGGTGCCCTTTCTTACCACTTTTATTCAACTTAATACTGGAAGTCCTAGCCAGAGCAATTCGACAAGACAAAGAAATAAAAGCATCTACATTGGAAAAGAAGTAAATTGTCTCTCCTTGCAGATTATACGATCATATATATAAAACCCTAATGATTACACACACATATGCACATGGACACACCACACACAAACACACCTGTAGAATGAATATGTGAATAGAGAAAAGTTGCAGAATATAAAATCAACATACAAAAATGAGTTGCATTTCCATACACTAATGGTCAACTACTCAAGAAGGAAATTAGGAAAATGTTCTCAGTTACATTGACATCAAAACCAAAATGTTTCAGAGCTGAATGATTTGTACACTGAAAATGATAATACACTGATGAAACAAATTAAAGAAAACATAAAGAAGTGGAAAGACACCTTGGGCTCATGGACTGGAAGTTTGAATATCATTAAAATGTCGATACTACCAAACTAATCTGCATATTCAGTATTATTCCCATCAAAATTCCAAAAGCATTTTTTACAGAAATAGAAAAATAATCCTAAAATTTATGGAACAGCCAAAGACCCAGAATAGCCAATGCAACCTTGAGAAAGAAGAACAAAGCTGGAGGCATCACACCTCCTGATTTCATAATATATTATAAAGCATCCTTAGTTAAAATAGTATGATGTTGGCATAAAAACAGACTCAGACTAATAGAGCGTAATAGAGAGCCTGGAAATAAACCCACATGTATACAGGCAACTAATCTTCAACAATGGCGTCAAGAATACAGAATGGGAAAAAGATTGTTTCTTCAACAAATAGGGTTGAGAAAACTAGATATCCACATGTAAACTACGAAAATAAACTCCTACCTTACAACATACACAAAAACCAACTCAAAAATGGATTAAAGCTTTAAGCATAAGACCTAAAACTGTAAAACTTCTGGAGGAAAATGGTAAAAACTTCATGATGTTGATGTTGGCGATGATTTCATGAATATATGGGTATGGCATCAAAAGCACAGGAGACAAAAGCGAGAGTAGGCAAGTGGGTCTACATCAAACGAAAGCCTCCT